AGAGAGATTTTTGCTATAGGGCACACGTGCTCACTGTAGAGACAGAGAGACAGAAAGCAAAAAATCAACTCCTATGGGGGATGGCCATACTGCAATCCTTTCTCCTCTAGTCTCCTCTAGGGATCTTGGGCATGAATGCACATGCGCCTGGTGTAAGTTTCATGCTGCCAGGTCCAGGACTTGAACTGCAGTCAATTATGTGGGAGTCCAGAAACATAACCAATATACCATGCGCTGGTTCCAATGAAGTTTTTTTAAAAAGCTGATGAGGGACCAGCGGATGGCCTAATGGTTACATCACTGGACTCTCAAATAGTTGACTGTGGTTTGTGTCCTAGACCTGGTTGGCTTAAGCTCATACCAGGTGTGTGTGCGTAAGTGCCCAAGATCCCGAGAGGAGAATGGAGAAGGGACTGAGGTGTGGCCATCCCCCTAGGGGTGAATTCTCACTTTCTGTCTGTCAGTCTCTGTCTTTCCGGGGAGTGCACGCACCATATAGCAAAACCTCTTCTAACTAACTAACTAACTAACTAAATAAATGCTGATACAAAACTAATGAGGCCCAATGAAAACAAAGTCTATGCAGAAAAAAGTTCTAGGAAGAGATTCTGGATCTAAAGACAACTTACGCATACAATCTACCTAAACAGTATATAGGATCAGGTAACTCAGTGCCAAAACAACAATCTAGACCCATGCTATCCAGTTTGGTAACCACTACCGGCATGTACAATAGTTACGAGCACTTGAAGTGCAGCTACTTCTAAGTGTAAAATACATTCAGGATTTTTAGACTTGATTAAAAAAAAAAAAAAGAAAGACAATGTTGTAGGGAGCAGCCAGATCTGAGCAACACAATGGTGACCTTTAAACACGTGTAGAAACCCAGTTCTTTGGGTGGTTGCAAGGCTATCGAAAGCCATCAGTAAAAGAATACTCTGTCTGCCTCTGTGTCAAAACTGCAAAGTGGTATCAGCTAAAGAAAACTATGGGTTAATCAGAAAAGGCCTGAGGAGATAAAATTTGTAAAGGACTTCAAGGTATAGGGCTGTATGGAGCCAGAGGTTTCATATCTTCAGCTGATTAACATCTGAAAACAACTGGCTTTGCATTGCACTTCCCCTACCCCCATTCTTGCCTTGTAAAAGAATAAACCTGGGAACAGCTTGGGGCCTCCATCTGAGTAGTCTCAAGCATGGGATTCCTGTTTTTCTCTACTTGTGTGTCTTTGTGTGTTTATTTTTATGTTTATTTCTAATCCACAGCTGTTCCCACTCAGAACACACTGAACCTGTGCAGGTCAAGGCACAGTGTGAACTATCTCACTTAATACATTTTTTTGTTGATTATATGTTGATATATTTTGGTTATACTTATGTCAAAAAAATACATTATGCAAATTAACCACTTCTTTCTTTTAATCTTTTAAAATATATGGCTGGCAACTGTTGCAGGTGCTAAGGATACACTGGTGTTATAGCTAAATGTATACATGCCACTTAAATTCACATGTTCAAGCCCTAACCCCCCAAGGTGGCTATATCGGGTCATGAGTCCTCTAAGGAAGTGAAGTTAAATGAGGCTATAAGCAGGATTAGTGTCCTTATAAGAAATATCAGACAAAATGCATACTCAGGCCAGCCTGCGGTGTGGTGGATAAGGTGGCTGGATTCCACATGGCCAACTGTGTGGTTTGTGTCCTAAATTCAGTGGCTTGAAAACATGCTGACTGCAAGTGTGCACATGCCCAAAATCCTAAAAACTGGGAAAAATGGAGAAGAGTTGGGGTGTGATCATCTCCCTTGGGAGGGGGTGCCTTCTCAACTTCTGTCTCTGTTTCTGTCTCTCTCTCTGGTAAGCACACATATCCTCTGAAAATTAAAAAAAAATTAATAATAAACTAAATGCATGCTCACTTGCTTACTTCTGCTTTCTCTCTGTGCACTAAGAAAAGACCATGTGAAGACATGGCATAGCTGTCTACTGATCAGAGGAGAGCCCTCACCAAAAAGTGAATAGGCTAGAGGCCGGCAGGTGGCGCTGGACTCCCACATGGCTGCCTATGGTTCAAGTCCTGGACCTGGTGGCTTGCTTTCTCACTTTTCCTTTCTCTCTCTCTCTTGCTGGTCAAATGAAAAAAATAATAACACATGGAATTAAATAAATAATTCTTTAAAAAAAAAAGTGAATAGGCTATACCTTGATTTTGGACTTCTGCAGAACTATGAGAAAATAGATTTGCATTAAGTCACCCAGTCTGCGATATTCTGTTATGGAAACCCACGCAGATGAACAAAAGTGGCAAAACAAAGACCTCTTAGAGATTATACTTCAGTACAGAGAAAATAAATGGGTAAATAGACAATCATGTAAATATGGGTTAATAATCATGAAGAACATGATACAAAAAAGCCATGAAGAGAAACTAGTGAGAAGTAGAGATTATTTTAGAGTAGGTAGGAAGGTCTTTCCAGAGATGTTTTATGTGGCAAAATCGGAATAAAATGGAGTGTGTCTGGTGGAACTCTGGAAAATGCCACCTGGTAGATGGAAAAGCAGGAAAAAAGCTTGGCTTATCAGAGTAAAAGAAAACAGGTATGAACAAGCAAGGGGGTGAGATAAGGTGGTGAGAGCAGTGACAGCAGTGACGGCTCAGGTGATGTAAATTATGGTAAGTAATTTCATTCCAAATGAGATGGGAAACCATTAGGGGGATTTGAGCAGGCAAATGACATAGTCTGATTTACATTTAAATTAGATTTAAAGATACAGAGTTCCTATAGAGTAAAAATATAATTAGAGATTTGTATATGCAAATAAAAAGCCTGAACAATAATAAAGCTTCCTTCTGGGGTAAGTGAAAAGCCAAAATCCATTTACTGGACTCAAATAAGATTCATTCAAATAAGGACCTTGAAATGTAGATCTATCAAGCTAGGTTAAAATAAATAGATAGGTAACATACAGACTAAATTATAGAAAGGTCTAGAAAAGAGCTTCAGTAATTTGAACATTTCAAATATAGAGAACACCAAAACTGTTCTTGATGAGTTGGCTGAAAGGCAAGATACCAAAATAGGCTAAGCTGTCCTGTTACAGAGCTATTTCAAGTCCTGAGTGATTTTCAGAGATCATTTAAACTGCCTGAAGCACCTGGTCAGATCTTCAACTTCCTCAATCTTCTTGAGAAGGCAGTAGAAATATCTTAAAATGCCTACTCACTCACAGCAGGCATGGTGTAGTTTACTGGTTATCTATACAAAGGTTTTGAGGCAACAGCAGGTGACCTCCACTCACCCATGTAATTTCACAAGGCAAGAAAAAATAAAACAAAAACTTTATCCTGCCTAAAATCCTATGACCTTTCTTATCTTTAGAATCTGATCCACAGAAGTAGATCAAAAATTTACACACATGCGTTAGAAGTCAGGCATAATAGTCAAGGGTATCTAGAAAGCAAAGACAAGCCCTAAGTTTTTACACTTTAACACTGAATCTTGCTCAGAAGAAAATGATGTTGTCCCCTTTAATTGATAAGCTGAGTATCCCTACTATCTAAACATAAATGGATTCTTCTAGGCTACTGAGTCACCAACAGTGCTAGGTAAAAAGTTTCTATGATTATGCAAACAAATATAGGCCATTTTTCTATCCTTTATCCAAAATATTTAGGCCCAGAAATATTTCAAATTTCACACTCTTTTTTTCAGATTTTGAAATATTTATGTATATATTTTTGGCAATGGGACCCAAGCCTAAATACAAAATTTATTCATGTTTCATATATACCTTGTACACATAACCTGAAAGTAATCTCATATGACATTTGTACTTCAGAATATTGACTGTGACCCACCACATGAGGTCAGGTGTAGGATTACCTACATGTGACATCATGTCAGCACTCACAGTTTTGGATTTTGGAGCATTTTGGATTTTCAGATTAGGGATATTCAATTATACATGCAACTGAATAAGTAAAATAGACCAGTAATTTAAAACTCTCATGAGAATCATTTTAAATTTGGCTGTACTGTTGGTCACTCACTCCATGCTAGTCATCGGTTAGAAATATGAGGGCATGTCAGGCAGAAATAATAGAAAAATTTTTTTTCTTTTAAATTTTTGTTCTTAAACAATAAAATAGTTTTTTCAGGAAATAAAATACATATTTTGGTTGGATATACCATAACTTTTCAGAAAAGCAGATAATACACATGAAATTTTCAACCCATAATAATTCAAAATACATTTTGTTTTATAAATAAAGAACAGCAATAAAAGTAGTGTTTCATTGGGACCAGCAGATGGCATAATGGTCACATTGCTGGACATGGTTGACCACGGTTGGAGTCCTGGACCCAGTTAAAACTTAGTTGGAATTGTGTGCATGCATGCCCAAGATCCCAAAAGAAGAATGGAGGAGAAGGGATTGCAGTGTGGTCATCCCCCCTGGGGAGTAACTTCTTGCTTTATGTCTCTCTATCTCTCTGGCAAGTGTAAGTACCGTATAGCAAAAATTTCTCTCTTAAAAAAAAAGTAGTGGTTTATTAATGCAGTTTAGTATCAGAAAAAAACTGTAACAATGCATTTTTAAAAAATATATCTCTACTGAATCATCATTATGGATAAGAAAAAGAAAGCTACCCAAACTTCTCTGTAAAAAGTTTTGCAAAGCAGCCATAATGGGTAAAATGGACAGAAAGGATGAGTTATTCAAACATGTTCCGCACCTTACCAGCCACTACCAGAAATTATATTGCCAGAAACAACCACATGTAGACCTATTTGGGCATAATGCTTGTTTAACAGTATCAGGAACTATATACCATTTACCGTAGAAATGATGTGTTTCAGAATCAAGATTTTGGCTATTAAATTTAAAATTAATAGCCTATAAAATTTTAAAATTTTAAGTTAATAGCCTGTAACATTTTAAAACAGATATTAAATTTTAAAGTTTCATTACATAAAGTTAATAAAAAATAAAATTTACTTACTTTAGCAATCTGCAGCAACACAATACAGTGTTTAATTGATTCTACCATGCTCTATAAATAAACAAAACAGATTTTAGCATCTTGCCTCATATAAAATGGTCATTTAATGTTAAAGCTTAAGATATTAAAAAAAAAAAAAAGTTCAAATGTACAGGATTTAAATCTGTACTACAGAAATACCGTCTCTGGATATCCAATGAGTTCTACTATTCTGATAGTGTCAAATAACATTCTGATAGTGTCGAATTGGCATTCCAAAAATTGTATATTTATACTGAACAATATCTGACAGAAAGAGATATGAATCTAATTAACTTTCAAATTCTTAGATCAATAGCAGCAACTACAGTATAAATTTCTAAGACATGTACTAAAGACTTTATTGAAGTATAAAGGATCCCGTCAAAATACTGTTAAATCTGAAATACTATTTTGTCTGTTTTCAAAATATTTTTATCAAGATACAAATTCCGTTAGTATTCACTAGGTAATGTAAGAAGGCCAGTACATCAGAAAACTTGAATCGCAACGTATCTTAAGAAAGAAAATACATAGGTTGTACATAAATGACACCTTTTATCCAAGGATCTCTGACAAGCAAGACCAGAAACAGATAAAATGATACCCAAAGTCAATTTTTTCTTTTCTTTTTTTGAAAGGTTTTTGCTATAGGGTGCGTACGCTAGCCAGACTGACAGAGAGAGACAGAGAGACAGAAAGCAAGAAATCACCCCCCAGGGGGGATGGCCACGCCACAATCCCTTCTCCTCCATTCTCCTCTCGGGATCTTGGGCACACACGCACACGCGCCCGGCGTGAGTTTAAGCCACCGGGTCTGGGACTCGAACCCTGGTCGACTACGTGGGAGTCCAGCGACATAGCCATTACGCTAACTGCTGGTCCCACAAAGTCAATTTTAATTGGAGGGATTACGCAGTTTCAATTCCTTTGGAAATTAAGGTAATTTTTAAATACCCATGTAAAAATTCATAAAAACTAAAATCTCAGTTGTTCTTATCAACAGCAGAAGCTTAAAACTAAAATTACATTTTAAACCACTTGCAAAGTTTATCAAACATATGACTTACATTTGTTGTGTCTTTGAGAGTTTCAATTTTCTGTGAAAAATAATAAGTTTAAACAGAAATAATTAGAAGCACAAAAGAATTTTACTAAAATATACTCACTATTCTAAGTGAGCACAAGCAGGCAGGAAGTGAATGCTTTTTGTCTAAATCAAGTATTTATAAATAAAAACCTAAATCAAATATTTAAGTAAAAACCCCAGACATATTAGAGATTACTCTTAAACAAAACAAAATTCATGTAATTGAATTTCAGATTTATAAGACTACTATAAAACATTCTTATTCTCTACCTGAAAATCAGTCTCGTCTCTCCTATGGATTTCGCTTTGACTTAAAAATGTTTATTTTTAGAATCAGCTTAGCCATCCCTAAGTTGTCTAAAAATTACTAAATTCTAAAACTAAGAACTGAAAGTAAATTAGATGAGTTACTACTATTACCAGATACAAAAGAGCCAAATGCATGGCCACAGTCAACAGAAAAGGAAAAGAAAAAAACAAAAATGAAAACAAAACTGATGCTACCTCAGAAAATCCAGCCAAGGACAGGAAAGATGTTAATCAGGGAGCAAATTAAAAAAAGAAAGAAAGAAATCCAATATACTAACTGCAAAGTAGATGTCAGAAATTCAGGACACGAATAGAAGATTATAATTAATGCAGTACTTGTTTTATATCCTCACATGTGGCTTCTCATTTATGCTGAATATTCTTGCCACTTGATTTATTATCTTAAGTAACTACTTTAAATGTAATAAAATAATGTTCTACTTTTAATACATAATACATTAAAAAGAAAGAACTTCCTCCTAGGAATGTGGAACTTACAAAAAGGGGATTATGTTAAAATTCTATACATTACCTTTTTGTTTAATTATAAAACCATAATGGAAATTAACCAGAAAATTCCCCCCAAAGTCCATCTGGCAGTAGTATTATAACAGGCCAATAATACTATTATAATAATCAAAATATTCAGGTATTTCTGTTATTTCTCTAAAAGACTACTGGATGTAAAAATTTTTAGGTCAAGTCATGGTTATAGAAGTTACCTTTCTCTGTTCATCATCTTTGCAGTTTTGAAGTTTGTCATCAAAAAGCTACAGGATTTAAAAAAAGATGATTATAATATCAAGCCACTTATTACATTATATAAATTGATTAAACATTGAAAAGTAAACTTTAGTTTTTAAACACATGCATTCTAAGGATGATTTTTGTTAAAAGAATAAAAGTGCAATCAACAGAGACAAAAGAGGGAGGAAGAACGCACCCCTCACCAATGGGGTGCAATTCTGCCACAATTCTTCCTCCTCCATTTCTCCATCCTGTCAGGATTTGGGGACATGTGCACACACACACATATATCCGATGTGTTTTTCAAATTGCCACAGCTGTGATGTGAACTGTACAGTCAGCTATGGCTCCCTTACCCACCAGACCACAGGGCCAGGCCTACTGATAATTGATATATAAGTTCAAGACTATGTCTTTTTTCAAGGTATTATATGAAGTCCAATTCTATCATGTACATGATTTAAACACTCAATACCAATCACTCTGGTAGAATTACAAGCAAAAGAAACCAGGTGACTTTTTTTTTAAAAAAAGAGATTTATTTAATTTTATCATTATTATTTTAATTTGCTACAGAACATGCACATTTACCAGAGACAGAGAGGGAGAAGAAAATTCAGAAAACAAGCTGCCAGGTCCAGGACTCGAACCTCAACTGACCAATGTGGGAGTCGAGCACCATAACTACCAACTGTTGGCTCACCAGATGACTTTTTAAGAAATCAAAATAGCAATTCAAATTACAGAAGTTTTCTCTGTTTTGTCTTTCCAGTTTATCAACACTCCTTCTTCTTCCTAGGGCCTCTGCTTTTAATTAATTTTAAAGTAAGACTAGAAGGAGACAATTCCAGTTATGATAAAATGAGGTAGGGAAAAAAATCTCCCCTAAGAGAGAAAAAAACAAGGTCTTAGAATTCAAGCCATTAGGGTCGGCAGGTGGCGTGGTGGTAAGGGCAGTGGACTCCCACATGGCCAACTGCGATTGAGTCCCAGACCTGGCCGCTTGCTTTTGCACTTCCCCCCATCCCTCTCTGGTCAAATTTAAATAAATAGATGGGACCAGCAGTTAGCGTAATGGCTATGTCACTGGACTCCCACGTAGTAGACCGCAGTTCGAGTCCCGGACCCGGTGGCTTAAACTCACACCAGGCGCGTGTGCGTGCGTGCCCAAGATCCCAGGAGGATAATGGAGGAGAAGGGATTGCAGTGTGGCCATCCACCCTGGGGGGTGATTTCTCACTTTCTATCTCTCTGTCTCCCTCTGCCTGTCTGGCAAGCGCACGAGCCCTATAGCAAAAACCTCTTCAAAAAAAAAAAAAAGAAATTTAAACAAATAGAAAGAAAGAGAGAGAGAGAGACAGAAAGAAAGAAAGAAAGCCATTATAACTTTCCGGCTCCACAGAAATTTCAAGCAGACTATAAAACTAATCTTGCATTTTTTCTAATTATATCCAGATATCTTTTTCTTAGTGACCAGAATGTACATTGTATAACTATGCTATTTAACAATATAATTAAATTAGAGATAAGAATCTTTGACTAAATCACTGTTGAATGAGTCAGCTTTAAAAAGTGCTAAAGAGGGGCCAGAAGGTGGCGTGGTGGTTAAGGCACTGGACTCCCACATGGCTGACTGCAGACTGACTCCCACATCACTGACAGCGGTTTAAATCTCAGACCTGGCAACTTGAAAATGATGCTGGGCATGTATGCATATGTGCCCCAAACCCCAGGAGAATAGAGGAGAAGGGATTGTGGCATAGCTACCCCTCCTGGAGGAGTGATGTCTTACTCTCCCTCTTACTGTCTCCCTCTGTCTCTTTCCAGTGAGCACATGGACTCTATGACAAAAACCTAAAACAACAACAAAAAATGCTATGTGAAGAACTATGTGAAGGCTGTCAGTTAACATCAAGTAACTGTTCTTACTCAAAATCAAGCTTAGTAACATTTACTAACGTATATCAATTCAACATATAAACTAAAGTCATACCTTTAATTGTTCTATCAAGATTTGTAGGTAAGCATCAGCCTCTGTAAGTTTCTTATCAAAGTCTTGGACACTAGGAACAAATCCTGAATCCAATCCCTAGAGAGAGAGAAAAAAAAAAAATGTAATAAACCTAGCAGCTCCCAAGCAATGTGTAATAATATACAAAATACTTCCTCTTTCATGAAGATATTTCCATTTTTAGATAAAAACAGTACTTTTACACAAATAACATGTCTTTTTCAATTATTTAAAATTTCTAGAATCAGTGGTGCATTAATCTCTCTCATTCACCTCAAACATTACCCCCTTCTCATCTGTTTCACCTGCTGCAGCTCAAATTAAGATTTGCCATGCTCTTCGAAATCACTTTCTTCTGTTTGCAAAACCCCCAACCTGGATCCCAATCACCTCGAGAGCCAGGAACATAAAAACCACCTAGATTAGTTATTCTCCCCCTATGTTTAATTCATTTCTTCCTCCATTCCCTTAATCTTAACTTCACATTCTCACTGCTTAGTGTTCTCATTCCTTAACCCACCTCGTCCCTTCTGAAGTTTTGGTCCCTGCTTCCTTATTTAAAAAAAAGGAAAGAACCTTGAAATTCTCCTCTTCTAAGATATCCCTAGGTGAAATTGACAACTCTCTCATCGAGTTCCCTACTCATTTTCACCCTTGGCATGAACACTACACTCTGGACATGGTATAAAATGTTAATTTATTTAGAGAGCCTGTTTATTTCTCAGTTTAAAGTCTAGCATTTGCACATTCTACTTCTTGCCACTTAAAATTTATGCTCCAAGAGCATGCATTTCCTATGCTTTCACTTTACTCAAAAGAAATCTTTGAGTTTTTATTTTATCACTTTTGCACACACATCAATCCTAGGTGCAAATGAAAAAAGAGATGGAGACAAGACCCCCAGCTTGTCGTGTCTGCTCACCTAGGTGTCATGCAGTTAAAGCAGAGGCTAAGGATTGGGCACACTACACAACCCAACCACCAAAGAGCACTAAATGGGTGAAACCCTGTGGTTCAGCGTACCCACCTCAATCTTGACCTTCAATGTGCCACATCTTCCCTGCCTTTGGCCAAAGCACGCTGATCGTCCTCTCACTCCCAGAGTTAGTAAGTAGAGTCCAAAGTTCATTTCACACTACAGCAGTACCTCATCTTTGCATGTATAATACTTTATCATTATTAAGGCACTTTCACAGCCATCATCTTAAAACATCAAACTGCGATGGCATGGTTAATTATGGAAAAAACGAACCTCGTCTGACATACTGGGTTTCTAATTCCAGCTCAGCCATCAACAGGACACTGGGCTCTCTAAATTGTTCTCTTGTCAACTACAGGCACCTTCTTCTCACTACTATCTCACCTGCAGCACTTGCTAATTCTACAAAGGACAACAATTACTAATTACTATCGATTACTACTATTACTGTGTTGTTCTTGCCAAACTAGAATTCAATTTGATCTAAAACATTAAAAATCTAAGTCCTATTTAAGACCATGGGGAAAATCTGGGACTAGTAGATGGTGTAATGGTTACATTGCTGGGCTCCCACATGGCTGACCGTGGCTCAAGTCCTGGACCTGATGGCTTCAAACTCATGCTGGGGGCGTGTGCATGTGTGCCCAAGATCCCGAGAGGAGAATGGAGAAGGGATTGCGGCGTGGCCATCCCCCCTAGGGGGTAATTTCTCACTTTCTTGCTCTCTGTCTCTGTCTCTCCAGGGAGCACACGTGCCCTATAGCAAAAATCTCTAAATAAAGAAAAGAAAAAAGACCATAGGAAAAATCAATATATTCTGTAATTTACTTTTTTTCCCCCCAAAATTCAAAGTGGTAAATCAGTCAAATTTTTAAAAAATATATATGTAAAGAGACTGCTTGAAATCAGTACTGAAAAATTCCTTTCAATACGAAATGTCATGTATAAAAACAGTGTAAAAATGAAAAATGGGAGTCCAGTGGGCCTCTAAGGTTGTGCGGTCCAATTTCTGAATGCCTTCCCAAAAGCCAGGGCCAATCGGTGGCTTTTTATTTCTTTCATATATTTTTCTCCTTCAGCTCAAAAAATTTTTAAATCATTACTGAAACAATCTTGTTTAATGCCTTCATAAATTTTAAATGGAATCAAAGAGAAATTTGCTACATTTTGTCAGTTGTCATGACCTACTTAGCTACGGTGCAGTCTCAGTCATGAAAGGCACACCGTGGAAGAATGTTACCGTCAAGTCAGATGAACCTGACACCATATTTTGGGAGATTATGCAGATTATAGTGCATCCTACAGCTCAAAGAAAGATGATTATGAATACTGCATATCTGAGTTTGAGAACAAGTGGCATCTACTGAGGTCTGACAGTAAAGGAGCTCATGACAACTCCGTCGCATGAATAGAGAAGAAATTCTGGCATTTATTAAGCTGTGCCAACGTGAGTGTGGTAGAATAAGTGCTAGTACCGGTCAAGAGCCTCACCTTTTATAACTCAGTGCTGTACAGATTCTTAGTCTGTATGACAGTATCAATGTCACTGACGTAATTAAAGTTGTGGCGTATGTTCTTTCTACAGAAAGATGTTCTTTTGCTGGAGACTTTTAGTGACGTAAGATTCTCTTTCTGTGCAGTGGCAACTTTGGCTCTATTGATGCTATTAACGTGGAAAAGGCAATGGAATTCGTTTTATCCTATGTGAACTTTGATGGTGGATTTGGCTGCACACCAGGTACTGAAACATACGCTGGGCAATTCCTGACTATTACTAGTCAGTGCCATCAAGTAAATTCTCATTTACTTGGTTTGTGCCTTTGTGAGAAACAATTACCCTTGGGTGGACTTCATGGTTGGCCATGAAGTTACCAGCTGTGGGTTTTGGCTTCCCTAAAGATAACAGGAAGGCTGTATTGGACTGATAGCAACCGCGGAGTTTGATCTTAATATGTCAAGATAAAGAAATGGGGACCTGCAGACAGACCAGGAGATATGGTGAATCCTTTGAAGACATTATTTGAAATTGGTAGATTGTCATTTTGAGGAGGACAGATTAAACTTGTGAGTCCCGTTTTTTGCATGCCTGAAGTGCTTCCAAGTGCTTCCAAGGGTGACTATCTAGCCTGAACTAGTAGCTAGATTCACTGACTCAGCGGTTGCTCAGGGTACTTGTCATCAACATTCCATATTTGAAATATTTAATGAACCAAAAAATGACTGTTAATATTTTGTATATTGTGTTAACTTAATTATATAATTATACATAAGTATTTTTAGCTTCGGATTTTCTCCTGAAATGCTGTTTATCTGAGTATAATTTTTTAAATTATAGTTCAGTGTGTTATTCCTATGGTTCTATAACAGCAAACTTAAAAGAATTTTTTGGGTTCGGCCTAATTTTGTGTGTATGCTCTCATGTGTTCTTTAACAAGTTATCTAAATGGGTGTGTTAACTGATTAAAAAAAAGAATAAGGACCATATATGAATTAAAAGATGCACGAAATAAATGGCTTTGTAATCTGGGAGTTAAAAAAAAAAATTGAAAAACTATAATCAACAATACATATACAATCCACCAATACTTTAAACTTTGTAATTAAGCTTAGTGATTAAACATTCATTTTAAAAGATAACCTAAAGAATTTCCTACTAGAAACATTTAATATGTACAATATGATACTAAAAGATGAAGAAATAGGACAAGCATTCATATATTCCATAGATATTATAGTACTACACTATGAAAGAAGGGGGTAATTCTTTTCCATGTTACTATACATAGAAAAATTAGGACTGCTTGGCTTGGTTCCTGTTTTGCTTCACGCAGCAATATAAAATAACTGTCAATGATTCATCTATCCAGAGTCAGGAGAAACCACCTAAATACATTGTTCGAGTTAAGTATTTTTTAAAAGGTCAATGGCACACTCAGAAATGAATAAAAGGCAAAGAAACCAAGAACAGAAAAAATTATCTTTAAGACTTTTCCCTCCTCTGAATCCACATGGAACTACTACTATAAAAGTCCAACACAATATCTCTGAACAAGCCACCATCAGGTGAAAAAGTGTCCAGTGAATACATGGAATTGAATTAGATTTGAATTGCTGCAATCTGAACCTCACCTAAGATAATTCTTCAAAAAGCACTCCTTCATGCCAGAATCACATGGACTGCACCGTGGCTCTCTTTCAGACTGGCCTCCAGTCTCCCAGACCTTCCCTTTACCCTTAGAATAAACCCCACACTTGACCACATCCAAGGCAAAGACTAACTGGCCACTCCATTTTCCTTTCAGTAATATATAATAAGTTTTAGAACAACAGTTATCAGTTTAAAATCTCAGAACTGGCCCAATCGTCCTTGCAAAGAACCCACAAATTTTTGGTGTACTTAAACAAACAAAAAAATCTACAAACACAATTGCCCCAGCTGCAATCAATAAAATAACATGTGCAAATTTACCAATAACATAGGCAGTTAACTAAACTGTTTTTCTCAAGCCTAATGAAAATGTACTAGAAAGGACAAGTTTCTATGTTGTGACTTACAGTAAATCAAGTCACCTAACCAACTTCCCCCTCACAGAAGTACTTTTATAACGTGGTCTTGAAATCTGTAGTCTTTGAGCATCTCAGGAGAAGATGCAGACTATTTCACAAAAATTCTCTGAAAGCATTACCTGTTCCTTTTTCCATTCCATATTTAGAAAAGTAGGGCCCTACACTTACTCATATTAATCCTTTTAAGTGGAATTTTGTTTTAAAACAGGACTAAAAATATAGTCCTTTACCATAATGAGGATGATCTGTCTTCCTCTGAAAAGAAATTGAGAACAGGGCAGACCCATTAAGACACTCTGCCTTCATGCTCCTTACAGTAATTCTCGAGAACAAGTGGGCTGAGAGTCAGGCAGATTACATTCTAGTCCCCTGTACTTGTCCCAGCTAACACTTATCACACTTTACCTTAATTAACTATTGATGACTGAGCTCTCTGAAGGATTATCAACTTCACCAAGGCAGGAACAGTGCCAATCACGTATCATCCCTCTGCCGCTAGCTCAGTGTTGAACAAATGCACCGGCTATAGCTC